AGATATTTTTAGATAACCAAAGATTGTTTTGGAGTTGTTGGAGACTGATTCGAGAAGTGATGCCCAGAAGATCTGAGTTATTAATCTGCTTAATGTAGTTAGTATTGTAATATTGAAGTTGAATATCCCAGTTATTACGAATGTTATAAAATTGAGGATATAAAAGGGTACTCACTCATAGGAATAGTTTGATTTAATTTCACTTTGTATTTAACAAGCTTGATATGGTGAAAGAGTATTTTTTTACAGATATGTTGATTAAGAACAAGATTATGAAGTCAGTATTCAATAGTAGATATAATTACTGTATTGATAATATACTGAGCATGAGTATCAATAATATGTTTAGTATCAGCAATTTGAATAAGATGTAGTGATTCTTCAATAATGAGTTGTGTTTGTTTTGTAAATTTGTTGTCTAGAGTAAACTAACATCCAAGAAACTTAAAGAGTATATGAAGTGAGTGCAAAAGTAATGAATGTGAGTTGTAAATAATAGGGTTGTAGTAAGAAGGAGGATTATTGGTGCAGAGAATAGATTTAGAGGGATTGACTTGTATATTGGCCATATCATAAAAAGATTAGGCAACAGAAAGAATCTGAGAAAGTTCATACTGAGAAGAGGCAAGCTAAAGAGTATTATCCATATAGGCTAATACTGAACACTTGGCTTTAAGTGTTTAAAGGATTTATTTTTAAGACTAGTAATCCAGAATGTTTGCATATTGTATTCAGTGAAATGTGAGTAAATATATGTTATAAGTGGGTCATAATATATTCTCCACAGAAGTAGAATAATAGTTTCTCTTTGATTGATACCACTTTGAACAGGGTATGAAGAAGTTAGTCCCAGATTAGTTATAACTTGGTTATGGTGATCAGAAAAGTTATTAATGATAGTCTTGATAATAGTAGTTGGTAAAGCGAGTTGAACTAGTGAATGTTGAAGTAAGGAAAGATTAACAGAATCATAGGCCTTGCTCATATCTTGAGACAGAAGCCATATATCCTTATGATTACAAGAAGTGTCCTCAATAAGATTGTTGAGAATATGTATAGAAGTAGCAGTGGAGTTTCTAGGTAAAGCAACATAATTAAAAGGTGATAAGATAGAATATTGTTGAAATTTTGAATTGAGTCTGTTAGTAATAATTTTAGTATAAACCTTTTGAATGTGTTTAACAAGACTAATTGGTTGAGTATGATTAAGGTTGCCATTAAAAGTATTGCGTTTAGGAATGGGGTAGATTCTGCTATTTTTCTATTGTTTTAGAATTTGGCTTTGAGCAAAGCAAAGTTTAAAGAGGACAGTAAGAGCTTGAAAACATGTAGAGCCAGCATATTTAATTATTTTATAACTGATGCCTGTAGGTCTACAGGCTTTACTATTTGGAAGCTTAGAGATAGTTGAGGTTATCTCTTCTGTTGTAATTGGTGAGGTAAGTAAACAATATCAATTAGGGTTGATGTGAGCTTGTGGTAGATATTCTTGTTGCCAAAAGCTATTAAAAAGTATTTGATTAATGGGTTTGTAAGTAGTCTAGTTGTAGAAATGATTTTGGATATGTTGTATGATAAGAGAAGGTTCAGTAATTAGTTGGTTCAGAAGTTTAATGTTTGAGAAGTATATAGGTGCTTGGTAGTGATTGAGAATACTGTTGATAGCTTATATAGGTTTGCTGACAAGAGTTTCACATCTTTTTTCAGAGGCTTGTTGAATTTGTTTGCGAAGTAAAAGAGAGTTTTCAGCATGTCGTGCCTGATATAGTTGATGCCATAAGTCTTGAGCGTGTTTAATCCATTCAGAAATTTGGGTAGGATCTAGACTTGAAAGAGATTGGAGATTGCATTAAGATTGTGAATTAATGTTTTGAATTTGTAAATTAATAGTGGAAATATTAAAAGTTGTATTGGTGTTTTTGAGATTTTTAATTAGAGAACCAAGTTTTTTAGAGACAGATGAAGTTATGTACTATGAGGTATAAATTTGTGATTGTAGTTACACTTGTGGCTTGTTTTGTTTGGAATAGTTGATATAGCAGAATATATAAAAGAGTATTCTATCTTGTGTCATATGGTGTCGATACTCTCAGAGGTTTCAAGTATCAAAGGTATTCGATATTGATTAAGTTTGGTTATAAATAAATTAGAAAATTCAGACCAATTTTCTGAGGTCATAGCATTGTAGTTGAATATAAGGCAACTAATACCAGTATGCAAAGGAGGTGGTTTGCTGAAAGCATTAGGAAATGTCCATGAAGTATTAAGCACAAGATGGTCACTGGGGGTGCAAATATTACTAGTATCAAGATTGTATGATAGAAAAAATTGAATATTGAATTGATCAGTTCAGATATAATTGATTCGACTAGAATAGATATTATTGGACCAAGTGTAGTGAGTATTGTTAAAATGTATACCAATATCATATATATTAGAGTAATGTAAGAAATTGATAAGTCTGTATTTAGCTGAAGAACTGTGATTATAGTCATATGTATTAAAGTCTCCAAAAATAATAGAATGAAGGTTCTGTTGTTGAGCAAGTAGTATCCAGTTAATTACAGTATTTTAAGTAGCATTTCTTTTTGATATATCTGTAGAGGAAAGATAAACTAAGATAATGCGAAGTTTGATATTGCTTTTGAAAAATAGGTCAATAGCGACAGCATCTTCAGGGTATGTGAAGCAGTTATGAATATATGGTTGAAGGGAATTGCGTATCATAATAGTGGCACCTTCTGCTGATCTATTTGAATTTGCCCAAAAATATGTGAAATTGAGACCAAATAATGTACAAAGATACAAATTGTATTGGAATCACTTTGGCAATAGCAATCTGAATAAAAAATGCAATCTTAGATGGTATTATAGTTTTAGATAAAGTTAAGAAAAGAACTTATGAATAGAATTCGGAAGCTGATAGAAATTGAGATTGTTATGTTATATATGCTAATCAATTAATCAAACCTATCAAGAGAAGTTGTTTCGTGAATATTTTGAAATGTTCTATTATATAAACTATGGAAAAACTTAACCAGTATTTGTGTAGATCTCTACTTACCAAAAGAATCATCTGGTATATCTTAACTTTCTCAGGCTCAGTTCAATTTGTATTTGATCTAGGAGGCAAAATCTAAAAGAGAATGCTAAAAGAACAATAGAGTAAAATAGAAAAAAAAAACTTCTCGAACAATTTGAACCTGATTTTTTTTGGATTATGTAAACTGCTAAAAATTTTTGTTACATGATAGTTATTGAAGAAGTATATAGCATACATTTAATTTGGAATTCTTGCTGAAATTCACAGAAGCTCATTCTTCAAGCAAAGAAATATATTACACAACCAAATCTAATTATGAACTCTATATAACAATTATATCTTTAATATGCAGTTAGATAGTATTATGTAGTAATTAGTACAGATGCAGGAAATATGTAATGAGTAAACAATCTGGTATACAAAGAGAGATGACAATAAAGTAATTAGTGTATGCATATGAAGAATGTAGGCATTCAATAGTCATTTGTGTTAGTAATCATTTGAACAATAGTCATAAAGGGAAGTGAATATAAAAGAAATAAAGAAAAAGGATAGTTGGTTAGTCTTTTGGTCTTTTGTCTTCTTAGTTTTTAGTCTTTTGGATATTAGTTCAGAAGAGTTATTAGTTTTAATGTATTTGAAATGTACTAGATTAATTAGTTGGATAAGGATATTTGAATTATTAGTGTCAGGAACACTACATAAAGATATTTGTTCAGTGCTGTTTGTGATAATAAAATATTCAGTTTATTTCTGTTAATGCTTACAGTCCTCTGCTAAATTGGCTAAGTGGATCCAAAGTCTCTCCCTAACTATAACAACATCAAATTTTGTGTACTCCGATTAGCTATTTCTTTTTTAGAGGTTTGTATTACTCAAGCAAATAAGTGAAATAGCATAATAAATACAAAAATAATAAGATCACAATAATTTTTACTAATCAAGATTTTTCTGATGATCTGCATGATCTGTAGTATTAAATCTAGCTACTGTACAACAAATGCACGGATTGGGCCCACATTACATAATTTTAGCCAGAATTAAATTTTTAACTTTTTCATTTCTAAAATAAAAATTTTTAGAGAAGTAGGACCACACAATAGTAAAATTAGCCCAGGAACATTTTTCACTTAATTGGCAAAATTTTAAGTAATTTTGGCTTAAATTGTTGATTGTCACTGTTGGCCAATCAAAATTGAGGATTAAGCAAGCATTTTTTGTATAACGTCTAGAGGCCCATAATATATTTGAAACAAATTATATGATTGGTTGATTTGTGATTGATGATCGTAGGTAGTAAAAACATCAGTATAAAATTTAAAATGAAATAACTTTTGAACTACTTAAGATATACGAATAAAAATGCCTTTATTAGATTCCTATTAATATTCTCTTTAAAGTTATTGAGCTCTTTAAAAACTTGATTGATCTGCAGATCACTTTTACCAAAACTGAGAGATGGCTAAAGCCAGGTATGTTTATATGGTTTTTAATATTTAATTAAAATTAGGGTAAGGGTTGGCTAGGGTTTAAGGTTAGAGCAAGTTTTATAGATAAAATTGCCTTCCTGACATTTTTTATTAGTGTTCCGAGGTAGGTTTAGACACTCGTTTTCTTTATTTTTTGTGTTTTTCACTTTTTTCTTTGTTTTTATCTCATCGGACTGATCTGGGTAAATCAAAATTTATTATTTGATTGACTGTTGCTCATGTGAACACACCTGGCTTTAGATGACCCCCAAAACTGAAACTAAAAAAGAAAAACTTTCAAGGCAAATAATACAAAAGTACACTAAGTAAACGTATCTCTGGCCCCTAAGTAAACTTGCCCAGCACCCAAATTAGCATATAAAAAGCACATACTTGTGGTCATAAGACCTCCTCTTGCCAACACGACAGGCAAAAACAGGAAAAACAACCCTCAGATAAACTTTCACTTGTTGAGCAGAATTGGTCCTATGGACCCCTCCACGACAACTAATGCTGCAACTAGCAGCAGGACTACATTAACTAATAACAGCAACCAAATCAATACAGAACCTGAAACAACTGCTCAACAAGCACACAACAATACTACCTCTTCCAGTGCCTTCTCTCTTATTAATCCTCTAACCTATCTAACAAGCAAGTACAACACAAAAACTACAGTAACAGTCACCTCAGCCAAGTATATTATGACAGAATATACAAAAGAATTTATCAATATTAGTATCAAGGACTGGTCTAAACTTACCTTCATTATCACCTTCTATATTCCAGAATTCGCTAACAAATTTCTCTTTACTGCGGAATTTTCCTGGTCTGGATGTATACCAAATATGGTTAAATTTTCTGCACAATGGATATGCAAGCACAGTGATATAACCAAATCAATCTTATTTGATTTGACAAGCTCCAAACATAACCCCATAAACATTAACGCCAAATTGCCTAGAACTACTTGTAGTTGTGACATAGACATAACAATCAAAGCATATGAGCAAACACAAAAAGCATACCATGCGCCAAAATACTCTAAAGACCTACCACTTATTCCATACAACATGATTCCCAAGATCGATACAGATGAGGATACAAACCAAAACAATACTGCCAGTATTACAAAAACAACAGCTAACAGCAAAGGCAAAAACAATACTCATTCTATCAAAGGCTACACCATTAGCAGTGTATCAGCTGCAGCCTCTAGCTCACACAAAACAAACAAACGGTCAGCAGCACAATTTAATATACCTGAACACACTACTACCCACCAAACTGTTCAGATACGCAATTAGCCAACTGAGATCTGTAGTATCAAAAAATGGCCTAAGCTTACACCACTTAACACTACTACTAGTACACAGATGCCACAATCACCATCAACAGTATCACCTACACATACTGCTACTACTATGGACTTTACTAAAATAGTTAAATTATCTTATAGCCAAATTACACGCAAAAATCTTAACTTACCAACCTTTGAGATACCTGATAGTACTGTATAGGTGCATCAAGTTGCGACTAAAATAGTACAAAGTACAATACAGCTATTTAATCAAAATCACTGGACATATGACACTATAGCCACTTCACTTCAAACTTCTGATAGGATATACCAATTTGTACAATACAAAGTTGGGTCTACACCTACGCAATTTGAACTACCACGAGCAATATATCTGAAGTTTAAACATCTAGATACAAGATTCTTTACTACATTTTCTAGAAACCCTAAAACTATGCCAGCACATCAAAAAGAATACACAAATTTATACAATACAGCATTAGCCAATTACAAAATCAATAACCAGCTCACAATTATCAACCATGAAATACGTAGAACTATTCATACTATGCTTAAAAGAATGCTGATTGCACAGCACCTTGCCAACACCAACTTTATTACAAGTAGCCACTTCACAATATTTAAACTAATTTACTATGCAAGAGGATTTCTCCAAATTCCAAATAACAATGATAACACCCCAAAGGAAATTAAGAATGCGGTACTTAATGCATTTCAAGACAAGCTACTTCCTCTTCCCACAACTCCTGATCTTATATCATCAGAGGTTACAAAGGACTTCTCTTTTACACTTTCTATTAAACAGCGATCTCATACAGCAGCAATTGTTAGCTGTTTGAGAAAACTCTTTAAGTTTGACAAGCTACCAGATGCCTATTTTCAAACACTGCCAGCTTTACCTGAAAATGTGACTGATTTACCATCTCAGCTACAACAATATTTTCCTATAACAAATCGACAATCACTTCAATACTTATCATTTTATAGATGAAAACTAGCAGACTACTATAGCTGTGAATCAATCCCACCATCATACTTTAAGCTACCTCTTCCTAAGCAGCCATTACCTACAACATACCAGGAGTTAAATCCAAGTGTCAGAAGATTTTTCGCCTATAATTCGACACTAGCTCAAGCACCTTTATCTGAAGTAATCTTCCAGCTTAGACAATACTATAGATTCAATCTCCTTCTCAGTGATTATTTCGTTGTTAAACCACTACTTCCAACCAATCCTGAACAAATTAAAATACATGATCAGTATACTTACCCTATTACAAAGGATGATATTGCGAAAGCCTTCATTAAAGAAGTATCACAACGCTATAGAATACGCTACCCTCTCCTTAACAATATTATGAAAGCCAACTCTACAGCTAAACCACGCTTACCTACTAGCGAAGAAGTTATTACTCAACATAATATTACTATACCAATTATCAACCCACAACAACTAACCAACACAGTAAAATTACTGTGACAATACTACTATTTTACTTATCTGCCTACAGAATGGATTAACATAACCACTTCCAGTACTACTACAGTTCCTAACCCAAACTTAGAGACTGACAGAATCTCTAATAGCCTAGATACACAGACAACTAAGGAACCTTTGCCACCACTACCTGACAACCTTCAAGAAATTAATATGATTTTAGCTAATTATAAAATTACTATCACATTGCCAATTAGTGAACAAACTCAAGTAACACCTACAATGAAGATACTACGACAATACTTTAATATAAAAGCAATCCCAGATTTTCTACTCAATTTACCTCTACTACCAACCCGAATATGAGATATTTTCAAAATACAAACAGCTGACTCTACACACCAACCATTAGCAAATAACATGCTTATAGATACTGAGTAATTAAATTATGCAGAACAATAATAATAATAACAATAACAATAATATACAGAATATAACCAACTCACCACAAAAACCTTTAACTATTGCTACTCATAACATTCAAGGTTTCAACCAAAATACTAAAAGACAACTTTGGTTTGATTATTGCTTGGCTCAGCAACTAGATATTATATCAATTACTGAAACAAAACTAGCATACTTCAGATATAACAACCTGCAGTTACATAACACACACTATAAATGTTTTACTTCTAACAACAGCCAAACAACACCACAACACCCCCAGGAGTCCAGCATGGGTACAGCTATTCTCCTATCTCAAACTCTCACTTCTTACATTCACAATATCCAAACACTCAATGGTACAGCAATTGCAATCGACTTATTTTTTCTATACAACAATAAATTCCGTATCATCTCAGCTTATCTCCCAACACATACCTTAGCTAATACTAAAACACAAGATCAGATTACCCGATAGATAACACAAGCACACCAAACTCAAATTATACCTATTATTATGGGAGACTTTAATCAAGATTTAAATAAAACACACAAATCATTACTGTATAGCTTTCTGCTAGCCCACAACTTTACACCATTAGTGCATACCTATTATCCATCTACACCTACATGGCAGTGAGTTAATTTATCTAGCCAAATAGATGAGATATGGATCCCACAACAGATTTTAAACATTACAACACGACCTACATTGTTACCAGCTACTGGTATTACTAATAGTGATCACTATATAATCTATACCAATATACAGTATAATTTTACACCACTCTCACGACTTAAAAAATACAAGTTTAAAGTATATAAATACGACATAATGACTACAGATAGTTGGAATGAGTTTCAGCAGACAACATATAACCTTACCTCATCACTAACAGATAAAACTATACAAACACTTTCAATTGATTAACTTTGGCATCATATTAATAATGCTATAACTAAAGCAGCCAAAACACACATACCTTTTACATTCAAATCTCACAGACAATTCAAAACATTCTCTACTGCAGCAACAAAACTCCATACAGCTCTAAATCTATGTGGTAGCATCTTACAAAAACTAACACATATACAAACTCAATCTTGATAGAAACTTAGAGGACCTTCAACAGACCATTACTAACATTAACAACAAACTACAAACAATACAGCAACTTACAGACCACCACGTAATAGCACTTACAATACAAAGTATCAGCAATCAGCAGATTGAGTTAACTATCAATTTTCTCAAATCACTCAGAAAAACTCTATATCATTTAAGAGAAATAGAGAATAAACAAGCACTTAGCCAGTATATTAATACTCAAGTACAAAAGCGCTATGACAACTTTACAACCTGCACAACTACTATGATCAATAGTATAATTGACAGATATACAGACCCAGTAAATTTCAAAAACATTCTATTACCAAATTCTATAATTACAGAACCAGCACAAATCCGAAATCACATTAAAAATCACTTTGCAAACTGGACTAAATTTAACCCATATGATTCACAATTATGGAAAATCTGGAAATTTGAATATGAACTACAGAAACATATCATACCAGCATGGTATAAAAACCTCAATCAACATATAACAGCTGAAGAAATAACTAATACTATCTGCAATTCACCAAATAATAAGGCTGTAGGACCATCATTGATATCTAATGAGATGCTAAAACATATACATCCACATGTTATCAAAATTCTCACTACACTCTTTAACAAATGTCTTAGCACTTCACAAATACCAAAGGCCTTTTACCAAGTCATTTAACCAACAAGTTTTTTAGAAATACACGAACCTTAACCTTAATTATAGACTTAACCTTTAACGATAATGACCATAATCATTCTGAAAACATAGTAAAATCTATCCAATATCCAAAAAACTAGTATTTTCTGGCCAACTCAATCATACCAGACCTATTACCCTGCTTGAATATACTCACAAAATATTTACAAAGATCATTACTTATCGCTTAAACCAAATTATAAGTTGCTACCCAATACTCAACCCACAAAACTTTGTTGCACTTCCATTCACATCAACAACACAACCTATTCATATACTTACAAACATCCTGCAGGAAGTTCAAACTCAGAATAAAGAGATATGGCTTCTTTCTCAGGATATGAGTAAAGCATATGACTCTGTACATATACCGCTGCTGCAGCAAGCACTTAACCGCATTCATATATCTAAATCAATACAGCAACTTATTGTCAATATATTCTCAGACCACCAAAACTCAGTCATTACAAACCTTGGCTTGACACCATACTATGATGTATATGATGGAATCGATCAAGGAGAGACGATTACACTTCTACTCTGGCATATATACTATGATTCTCTAATTACTTATATTTCAACTAAATTCACAGGATACACTATATCTGCACAACTACCTTCTAACAACTCAGTTACTTATAATACTTCTGTATTAGCCTATATGGATGATACTCTGTGGCTTGCCCCCAGTAAACAGCATCTACAAAATATTGTTAATGCAGCAAATTCATTTTACAATATGTTACACATTACTGTACATCTAGCAAAATCAGTCCTATTCACAAATAGTACTACTGACCTAACACCAACCATTTGCTTTGCAAATTCTATTATCTCTGCTATCCCCAAAAAAGATTCATTTCGCTATCTTGGCTGCTGGTTTGTTACTACCAACAGTCATAAATTTATTCACAAACAAATAATAGAAGAGGCTACTAGCCTGATAAAAACAATTAAAAGAAAAAAGATAACTAACAAACAAGCTATATACATTATTAATACAGTACTTATTCCACGATTTTCCTATAGAACACTTAATACAGTCATACATCAGAATATATGCTCAAAAGTTACAAACCAATATACACAAGTTGTTAAGCATAAAGCAGGCCTTACAACTCGCATCTCTAATGCAACGATATTTCATCATCAAATATATGGACTCTGACAACTTAATGATATTCAAGTTCAAAACTATATATCTGCACTGCATACTCAAATCAATAATCCACTCACCAGATTACCTATTAAAATATACATGCAGCATCTGCAAAATGCCTCTATGGTACCAAATAATATACTACAATTTTCGCAATTTATTTTGCCTACCAAATATGATAGTACACTTACAGCACACCAACTCAATATGGTAATTTTGAACCTACCTAATCCTTGGCCTATACATACCAAGCATCCTGGCACAACAATTAATCAACTAATTCAACACTGCACGAATCCTAGCCATATCAAAACCTTCACAAATTGTGCAAACATCTATGCAATTGAACAACTCACTAATCATACAAATACAGAACTACTTACCTGGCACCAGTTAGCCTGCAAAACTCAAAAAATCATATCAGGACGGTTACCAAAGTGGTTTCTGGAGCTCCATAATACACTATTAAAACCTACTACACCACATATTTCAACTGTGAGTCCTAATCCATTTACCACAAATAAGATTATACCAACACGAACAAGCTGGATACTTGGAAAATTTCAAAATACACCGATAATAGGAAAAGTTTTCAAAACCAAACTACCAAAAAACAACATACAGATCACACATTGGCTACCCCCAGCCCTAGATACTAACATATCACCACTTACTAATTGTACTTCTTGTATACTAACAACAGCTATAAACACACATGGACAATGTACTATTATTATTCCTATACAACACTATATAATAATTCAAGCTATACACTCTAAATACTTACGTACTAACATCTCTGATCTAATTTCTAACCATCCTCTTTTCAATAACATGAATACAAAAACAAAGCATCACAACACCAGGCCTACTACTCTACACAGGTCTGCACATATCACTGTTAACCCCAATCAAGTATTCAAACAGGGATCTACCCAATCTCGTCTAGATCACCTCGCACAAATCAATTCACAAGCCTCAAAGCTTTGCTTTTATATATATGCTATATGCACCAATATAAATTTTCCATGCTCATCTGCATTATTTGCCTGGACACTTACTCCAACTAACATATCATTTGCTGCAAGTATCACCTTTTGGCCATCCAAAACCAGAGCATATCTTGTCAGCAAAATTTCTATGCTAGCTATAGCACCACCAGATTGTTATATCACAATTCTAACTTCACACTCTCTAACAATTAACATAATAAACTCAGTTCTACAAACTACATCCAACCTCAACCTAAGAATACAAAAACAAAACTTTTGGCCACTCAAACAACTCATACACACTATTATTGCACAGAAAAATATTACAATTAAATTAACCTTGATTGAAGCTAAGTCAAAACCTCCATTATTTCAACGCACAATACAGAATGCTATATCAACACAACCTAATAAAATTGAATTTATTCTGCATGCACTTGACCACAATAACTTCTTTATAAGCTAGAATGGCACAATTGTTGAACATAAAACTCGCAGATTCATCAGACATATACAAAATGCAAACAACATAGCCAAATGGCACTCCCTCAACAGAGCTCAAACTTGGAATCAGATACGACAAAATTTAGACTGGGAACTACTACACAACTTCATAAACTATGATAATAAGCCACATACTCGGTTTACACACCCTTAACTATCAAAAATCAAAAACTTCAAAATTAAGTTTCTTCTTAATGAACTACCTACACTCCTAAACTTACACTTCTAGCATCCTAAAACCTATATTAATCCAACATGCAAGAGGTGCAATGCTGATATCGAAAATAATACCCATTGGCCTATATGTGATAAAAACCAGACTACTATATATCAGTTAATTCATGAAACTATCACTAAATTCCTAAATAAACAAAAGATACACCAACAAGCAGCCTCCATAATTTTACAGAGGTTCTTTACAGCTCCCAATAATACCCTCTCTATAACTGCAATACAAGGTTTTGCTCCATCTAATATTCAGGAGATTACTACCCTATCTAAGACCCAATATATACAATTATTGCACAAGATTTCTAAAAATATATACAAAACAATCTGGCAGGCACGATGTATTGCAATACATCAGCAGCAAACAAGAACTAACCCACTTAAAACAAGACAGCCCAATCAGTGCTGCCTAGCTACCTGACTCTAATATGAAATAGACACACAAAGCTACATACACCCACATCAATAAAGATACAAATAAATAAATAAATAAATAAACAAATAAATAAATAAACCCAAAAAAAAAAAAAAAGGGGAGAAAGAGAGAGATGAAAAGGAGGCAAATACAGACAATAACAATAAAAATAAATAGACAACAAAAGTAATAACAATAATAATAAATAGAAAGATAACAAAGAAAAGATAAGTATTTCTATATCATATATTCTTAGCAACCCATCCTATCATTTACATTCCATTCTTCTTTCATCATGGATAACGATCACAATCCCGGTATTATCATATGCATCATATACAGATATACAAAATAATTAAAAAAAAAAATGATAATAAATAATAACAATAGCAATAATAATCTCAAGCCCAACACGATCACGTGCATCATCAATCCACCTTACATAGCAACAGCTACAAAGTAGCAACATCATATACGGCAGAATCAATTTATCCCTCTTAGACAGCCACCTGATTTTGCCATTTAACAGCCAGTCTGCTTCAGCAGGTGGGAAACCACCGGCTGATAATCAAGTTGACATCACTCAACTATTTTCTACCCAGTCTGTTACAGTGACTCTCAGCACATTAACTATTGCTACTCTTTCAGAATAATCACTGTTTCAGCTCCTATATATACATATTTTATCACTATACTCTTGTACTGCTTGCTTACACAATGCTATCTAATAAATTATTTCCAGCCACATGACTAGCTGGCATTTATCCAAATACACAAAGTGCGTGCCAATGTTTTTCGATTATTTGTAATAAAGTTTCTACTATGGCATTATATTAATAAAAAAAAAAAATTTAATTATTATAAATTTTGTAATTTACTTGTAAAAATTAATACTTGTCTTAAGAGCAAAAATTTTTCTAGCTTTGAGAATATATAAAATTTTAGAAAACTTACAAAAATTTTTAATAGTAAACCCTAATATTACACAAACTTTGCACTTTAATTAATCAGAAGTTCTTTAATAATTTAAAATTTTTATCTAATAAAGTTAATAAAGTAGATCTTTAAAAAGATATTTTATTTAAGCAATATATTGTTAAAAGTAATATTTAAAATTTTATTAAAAAATTAAGTTAAAAAAAATATAGGCAAATTTGTCTGTGTTACAATTTAAAGAATTGCCTGTGAATTGAGTTGCAATTCTACTAATAGGAGAGTTATAGTAGATTCTTCAGAACAAGCACTAGTCGAAAACTATGAATTTGACCTGGTCGAATTACAATAACATTCGGCAACAAATCAGTTGATTTTTTTAAAATTCGGTAGCTTTAACATTAATTCGACCTAATTTAGTCAAAAATTCGACAACTGAATTTTAATAAAATTCGACTATGCTGATTTCTTCAATAATTTGACCTAATTTAGACAAAATTTGACAGCTGAATTTTAATAAAATTCGACTATATCGATTTCTTCAATAACTCGACCTAATTTAGTCAAAAAATTCGATACCCGAATTTTAATAAAATTCAACTATGCCGATTTCTTCAATAATTTGACCTAAATTAGGCAAAGATTCGACATCCGAATTTTAATCAAATTCGACTATGCCGATTTCTTCAATAATTCGACCTAATTTAGTCAAAAATTTGACATCCAATTTTTAATCAAATTCGACTATGCTGATTTCTTCAATAATTCGACCTAAATTTAGGCAAAAATTCGGAAATTGAATTGAATTGAATTTTAAAATCGAAATTTTGTCATATCATTTTTAAATAAAAAATCGAACCATATTCAACTACGTAATCAGCTTCATTATAAAATTTGTGCTGTATGCTACTTTATAATAGTATTAATTAAAACATATCATAATCATCATTACATAAAAAATCGAACTATATTTAACTACGTAACCAGCTTCATTATAAGCTTTATTATAAGCTTCATTATAAAATTCATGCTGTATTCAATTAAAGCGTGTCATAATTAGAAACAATCGATCCATATTCGACTATTCATACTGTATTCAATTAAAGCATATCATAATCATTTTTCATAAAGCTTCATAATAAAATTCATGCTGTATTCAATTAAAGCACGTCATAATCATTTTACATAAAAACTTGACCCATATTTGACTACGTAATCAGCTTCATTATAAAATTCATGCTGTATTCAATTAAAGCGCGTCATAATCATTTTTATATAAAAAATCGACCCATATTCGACTACGTAATCAGCTTCATTATAAAATTCATACTTTATTCAATTAAAGCACGTTATAATTATTTTTACATAAAAAAATCAACTCATATTCGACTACGTAATCAGCTTCATTATAAAATTCATACTGTATTCAATTAAAGCACGTCATAATCATTTTTATATAAAAAATCGACCCATATTCGACTATGTAATCAGCTTCATAATAAAATTCAGCATGTCATAATCATTTTTACAAAATTCATGCTATATTCAATTAAAGCAAATTATAATCATTTTTACAAAATTTTTGCTGTATTTAATTAAAGTGTGTCATAATCATTTTTATATAAAAATTCGACCCATATTTGACTATATAATCAGCTTCATAATAAAATTCAGCGTGTTATAATCATTTTTACAAAATTTATGCTGTATTCAATTAAAGCATGTCATAATCATTTTTATATAAAAAATTGACCCATATTTGACTATGTAATCAGCTTCATTATAAAATCATGCTGTATTTAATTAAAGTGTATCATAATCATTTTTACATAAAAAATCGACCCATATTTGATTACGTAATCAGCTTCATTATAAAATTCATGCTGTATTCAATTAAAGCGTGTCATAATCATTTTTACATAAAAAATCGACCCATATTCGACAACGTAATCAGCTTCATGTATTCAATTAAAGTGTGTCATAATCATTTTTACATAAAAAATCAACTCATATTCGACTATGTAATCAGCTTCATTATAAAATTCATGCTGTATTTAATTAAAGCGCATCATAATCATTTTTACATAAAAAATCGATCCATATTCGACTATGTAATCAGCTTCATTATAAAATTCATGCTTTATTCAATTAAAGCACGTCATAATCAGCTTTACTAGAAAAAATTGAATTATATTCGACTACATAATCAGCTTCATAATAAAATTCACCAAATTAAAGCCATAATTAGAAAAAATCGAATCATATTCAACTATATAGAATAAAAAATCGAACTACATTCGAATTATTAAATTAAAGCGCATCATAATCAGCTTTACAATAAAATATCGAACCACATTCAACTTTAAATCAAGTACAAATTAAAGCACATCATAATTAGCTTACAATAAAAAAATTGAACTACATTTGACTTATGTAAAATATCAAATTAAAGCGCCTCATAATCAACTTTACAATAAAAAAATCGAACCACATTCGACTTTGTAATCAAAGTATCAAACTAAAGTATATCATAATCAGCTTTACAATAAAAAATCGAACCACATTCGACTTATCAAATTAAAAAATGTCATAGTAGAGTATAATATAAAAAATAAATTTCTTATAAATATGCGCTATTTTTATAAAGAAACAGCTTGTTGCTTATGATAGTAACTTATTCATTTACAAACTACTACTCAATCTCTCTTAATTTCTTTAATCTCTTAACTTTTCAATCTCTCTGTCTCTCAATCTTTCTCTCTGTCTCTTAATCTCTTTCTCTGTCTCTTAATCTCTCTCTCTGTCTTTCTTTCTCTCTCTCTCTCTCTCTCTCTCTCTCTCTTTCTCTCTTTCTCTCTCTCTCTTTCTCTTAATCTCTCACTCTATCTCTCAATCTCTCACTCTGTTTCTCAATCTCTCTCTGTGTCTCTCTCTCTCTTCTCTCTCTGTCTCTCTGTCTCTCTCTGTCTCTCTTTCTCTCTCTTCCTCTCTCTCTCTCTCTTTCTCTTTTTCTCTCTCTTTCAATCTCTCTCTCTCTCTTTCTTAACCTCTCTCAATCTTTCTCTCTAAAATGTCTCGAATAGTGAATTGACCCGTCTAAAAAATCTCCACCCGGGTCACCCGTCGGGTGGACAATGTGCCACCCGGGTGAAAACAGGTCAGTTTAAAAAAGTCGCCACCCGGGTCACCCGACGGGTCACCCGATAGATCACCAAGTCAATTAAAAAACAAACCCGGGTGGTTAATGTTTAGTGTCTTCAATTACAGCTATTCTGAACCGATTTTATGCT